GAAGGAAATGGTATATGAGACCTGAGAATGGACAGGCACACATGGAAACGGCAGCCGCTTCTGCCTGTCCCATTTCATAGCTGACTACTAATTGAAAAACAGAGGATGGGAGGAGTCAGTGCTCTGTTGCTATCAGGAACAGAGTGGGCAGATTAGAAATCAGAGAGAAATGCCAGATTAAGCACATCTCCTCTAAAACTACTCACACCTATGACCAGGACCTGGCTCTTGACTATAATGGGGCAGGAAAGTGGAGCAGACAAGTTTGTTGTGACTGCTTAGATTGGATGACCCATCACCACCTCTCTTTTAGGAGTTTACTTGCACTCAAGAACTAACTTGTATGAGATCCAGTACCACCAAGCAATAATGGCTTAAATTATTACCCCAGCTAAGCTGAAAAAAATATCTGCTAGGCAGTCAGGAGATTTTGGTTCTTACCTAGGTTCTGTCAGCAGCTAGGTGGCACAGTAGATAGAGTGCTGGGACAGTAGTCAGGAAGACTCATCTTCCTGAGTTCAAATCTGGCCTCAGACACTTATAAGTTGTGTGACCCTAGGCAAGTCACTTAACCATATTTGCCTCAGTTTCCTCATCTGTAAAATGAGCTGGAGAAAGAAATGGCAAATCACTCCAGTAACTTTGCCAAGAAAACCCCAAATGGGATCACAAAGAGTCGGACACAATTGAAACTGAACAACAGCAAACTGATTCTGTCACCAGCTCATTGACACCCTCCTCTGGTCTCCATTTACCATCTGCAAAATGGAAAATTTACAACATTTGCCTTCTTTACTTAACCAGAATGTTTTGAGGATAAAATTAGATAATAGCTAGAATGTTTATTTAAAGAAAAAAATTATTTGTAAATGTTAATCAAAATGGTAGTTGTTCCATGTGTATTATTGTAATATTAGTTTTGTTAAAGGAAAAAATATGGATTGAAGGAAAGCTTCCTCTGAGCTGTGATTTTCAGGCAACATAGATCAAAACTGGAAGCAATTTAAGTTGACATTTCTTTCTGGTCTCAATCATTACTCATCTTTAAAATGAGAAGGTTAAACCAGAATGAATGAATGAATGAAAATGATCATGTTTTAAATGTTTATCAAGGGCCCTTTCTACCCTTTTATGATTTGAACCAGCATCCACTAGCACATTCTGGTAGCAGGCAGGGACTTAGAGGTGTTTTTCCACCCCTAATATAGATCTTGGGCCTCAGTTGCCTTCCCTCTATTGATTATTCCAATTTATCCTGTGTAAATCTTGTGTGTTCAGAGTTGTTTTCATGCTGTCTCCCCCACTAGACTGTAAGCTTCCTTAAGAACAGGAATTGTTTGTTTGTTTGTTTGCTTTGCTTTGTATCCCCAGCACTTGGCACAGTGACTGATACATAGTAGGCCCTCAATAAATGCTTATTGACCGAGAGAATGACAGATGAGAAACTGAAAAACCCCAGGCCAAGCTACCCTGTGTGACATATGCATTCTAAAGGAATGGACAAGTGACTATTTCTGAAAGAGATTTAAATAACAATCACAGTTTACATCCCAAAATATGTAATTACATCTTATATATTTTTACTTTATTTTTAAATCACACCTGTGATTTTAGCAGGATATGGGACTCCCAAGGAAGAACTTCCTCTACCAATGTGGATCTGTACCTTCTTTGGCAACTTTTCATCAAAAGCTATCTAGGGAACTAAGAGATTGATGAATAGCCCAGGGTCACATGGACAGCATATATCATCAGCAGGACTTGAACTCAGGGTCTTTCTGATTTTGAGGTCAGCTCTCTATTCACATCATACTGCATTTTTTTAGAACATCATGATAGAGCCAGTGTGGTATACTGTTTAAAGAGCTAGCCTTAGAACTTAAAAGACCTAGGTTCAAATTCCACCTTCAAAACCTCTGACCAAAGTTAAGTTAAAGAAGAGGTAGTGATCACCACCAGCAAGGGAATTTCCACACAGGGAATTTCCCCACACCGGTGGCATCACTGATCTAGATATCTTACAAGGAGCTTTAAAAAAAAATAAGCACTTCCATAGCCATTATCTCATCTTTTATACAACAGCTTTGGATAGGATACATCTATTTGACAGGTGAAGAAAATGGGGTTGAGAGGGTAAGTGAATTGCCTGAGGTCATGCAAACCATTTTTTTCAGTCCTTTAGCACATAGTTCAGACAAGTTAAACTATGGCAATTTATAACCCAAAACAAGCCAATGTTGTCATTTGGACAATTAGCCCACTATTAAGTTCCATTTTTGCCTGCGCTGTAATACATGACCTAAGTCAAGTTATTTCCCTTAGCGAAATTTTCTGTATATAAAGTAGAAGCAATAATTCTGCATCCCTTTTAACGTCTTAGCTTATTAGAACTAACATAACCAGTTTGGGAGTTGTATACTTAGGATGTCAAGTCTCGAGAATAAAAGAAATTGTATTCAAATGGCTATTTGGGTCCATCTAGTGGAATTTTCAGGGTATTTTTGTAAAGCAAGGACCATACAACATAACAGTTCATTATTTTATGTGGGGAGGGGGGAGGCAGGTTTTGAGGGAAGGAACCAAATCATGCAATATTTTAAGTTATCAATATCTTCAGGTTTTATGCATAAAAATGGGCATCATGAATACGCTAACTTGGGAGCAAGACCCCACAGTTTGTCTCAAAAGTTCCAATATTTATTCTCAATTAGAAAAAGATCTTTTTTTTGTTCATTAAGAAATTTTTCTGTATTTCCCAGCAGAATATTAATCCCTTGAGGGCAAGGACTATGTTTTTGTTTTCTTTTTGAATCCCTACTACATATCAAAGAGCTTTGCACCTAACAGGCACTTAAATGATGGTTAGATTGGTCTGAATTTGTTTTAGAATTGCTTGGTATTTCTGCACGTTTAAGGGTCCTGTAACCATACTTTCCATGCAGTAAGTGAAACATCCAAGAATTTCAGCCAAAGTTTAGCATAACAAACTGGTGATATTTGTCAATAAAATCCTCCCAATACACAACTGACTGGTCCACATTGCAGATCAATATTTTTCAGTCTTATATAAACCTTTTCAAAAATCTGATTTCACCAAACTGTGACTCTGGCATTTCAAGAAGAGAATGCATTCTATATAGAATATTTCTCATATCTGCCTCAGTCTTTTCACTCACAAGACTATACCACCTTAATTCAAGCCCAGAATGACACAAAGGTAATAAACCTGAGTGTGCAGAAAGATGGTGTTGCCCTTGATAGGAAAAAAAGTTCAGAAGAGTTATGGATTTGGGGAAAAGATAATGAGTTTTGTTTTAGATCTGTTGAGTTTTAGAGGCCTATAGGACATCTAGATGGAATATTTCATTTCTCATTTGGTAATGTGGAGCCTGGACCTAAGGGAAAAGAACAAGGTTAGATATATCAAACTGGGAGGCATCAGCACAGAGATGATACTTGAACTCCTGGGAGTTTGCTCTGAGAGCCAAGGAGAGACTAGCCTCAATCTGCAAAGAGCCCAGCAGAAAAAACTACTATATACCTAAGGTGAATGCCTTGAGGACTACAGCAAAAGGATTTCCAGGAACTGTGAGTTACTCCTTTGCCACATGTTGTCTCCAAGCCTGAAGCCCACTTTCCCTTGGATTCTATGTACTTACAGGAAAATGTGTCAGACTAGATGTTTGTACCAATTGTTCTTAGACCTCAGTAAATACTCCATCCTAAAAATTCTGTCTAGCTAATTGATATCAACTGACAATCATAGTAGGAAGGCACACTACTACATTTCCATATATTGGGAGTCATATTTCTAGGGAAAAAACCTCTGAACTCCTTAGGATTACCCCTGGAACCTTGAGGAAGATGTAGCAGTTATGCTGATTCACCAGTGGGAGTGAGAGTTAAGTTTGTGGCTCTAAAGTGCATGCTACATAAAGTAACAGATACAGAATTCAAACTCAGACTGCTACCACCAATTCTTCTACCATATATTACTGCCTTACAGAGACAGTGTTGTCAAAAAGATATTTCTCATAACAAGACATCTCTTGACAATGAAAGCTCCTATACATTTAAAAAAAAACTTCATTTTGTAGCCACTGGATGTGAATTTTAAAGGAACCAACAAAAGCCATCAAGTATTTATTAAATATCTGCTGAAAACAAAGTCTCATTTGCTGCTGCCCTCATCTTTTCCTCTCTACACAAATGTTATTAAACAAATATTTATTGTCTAGAATGAGCTATAATGAGCACCGTGCTAGGCACTGGCTTACATTCTCCTAGAAGGATACACTGCTATCATGGTATTCTAGAAGAATAACTTTTCAAAAGACTAGAATGGGGAACAATCAAGGTTCTTCATAGGGAGAAATAAAAGGAAATGTGAAGTCCTAGAAACACTGATCAAGAGATAACAAAATCAGAGAACTGAAAGGGATCTCAGAAGCAATCTATTCAGGGGTAGCTAGGTGGCACAGTGGATAGAGCACTGGCCCTGGAGTCAGGAAGACCTGAGTTCAAATCTGACCTCAGACACATAACACTTACTAGCTTGTGTGACTCTGGGCAAGTCACTTAATCCCAACTGCCTCACCAAAAAAAAAAAAAGTGGTCTATTCCAAACCCCTACCTAATAGAGGAATTCCCTCCAAAATGAATATTGAGCACTGGATTTAGAATTGGAGGACCTAAAGTCAAATTATAGCTCTACTACTTGCTTCCTGTGTTAGCTTGAGTAAGTAACCTGGCTTTTCTGAGTCTCAGTTTCCTCACCTGTAAAATAAGGGAGTTGGATTAGGTGATTTCTAAGATCCCTCCTAGCTCTAAATCTGTGCTCCTACTAACATTCCCAACAAGTGGTCAGTCATTCAGCCTCCCCTTAAAAAGGGCTATTGAGGAAAATGAGGAAAACATGCAGAAGTTATTGCCAAATAAGAGACAGTCACCATCCAAGAACTACAAAAACTTCTCACAGTCACAAATAATAACATACTTACTTTATATGGCGTGGCTTTCGATGGGATGTTTGCCACCTAGAAGGCACAACCATGTCACTGTGCACAACTGGTCTGATCTGGAAAGGTGGGAAAAGCACACGATCAGAGAATATTCCAAATACTGCTCATCTCTCTCAAAAGTTCCTGGTAGCTTCAAAAACCCAGTATCTGAAGTGAGACCACAAAGTAAAGAGAATGTTGTTCATGTGTGGCTGAGGAAATTATAGGATCACAAATTTAAAGCTGTAAGGAGTCTTCAGATATCTAATCAAATCTCATTTTTCAGTTGAGGAAACTGGGCTGGAAGACCTTGGTTCCTGTCTTGGCTCTCACATATGCTAGTTACATGACCTTGATCAGTTCAATTAACTTTTGACTATCCTAAGCAGCTCTCTAAGACTATAAGTCACCAAGTTGCTAATCTACATCTGTGGAGAGTTTTCCCCCACTAAAGAGTTCCCTCCACTGATGAAATCATAGGTCTTGACCACAATGTACGCCAGCAACAACAATGACAAAATGTTTTGTTGTTATGTAGGATATCAACTGCAGGCCAAAACAAAATTTTTTTTCTCCTCATCCCCCATGGGGACATGATTAAGGAAAGAAATGTTTCTAATAAGGGACCAGGGAACACAAAAAACTGAAGAGAAAATGTCCCTAAGGCAGGAAGCTGTCACCTCTCAGAAGAGAATCTGTAACTAAGGGCATCTTCCTACATAATCACCTCTCTGTTCTAATGCTGGGGTGCTTGTACTGATAATTTTTTAAAAAATCAGCTGGAGACATGTTTCTGATGTTCAGTTTTCCCTTTAGTGATATTCACCTACTTATAAAACCTTTCCTATCTACTACCAATATCTTAAGAAGAAATCTTTTTTTAATTAATTTATTTATTTTTAGTTTTCAACATTCATTTCCACAAGATTTTGAGTTCCAAATTTTCTCCCCATCTCATCCCACCCCAAGATGGCATGCATTCTGAATAAACCTTCCCCCTAATACACACTCTCTCATAGGAAGAAATCTTAGAGCAAAGAATGTTACAGCTACAAAGGTCCTTAGAAATCATCTAGTTCCCACTCACTCATTTTACAGATGAGGAAAGAGAGGCCTGGGACAACCAGCCCAAAATCACAAAGGCACTGAGAGGAAGAGCCAGAAACTAAGTCCAGGTTTCTGAACTCTAACACTTTGCCACTAAAAGGGAAAAAAAAGAAGCACCTGTGATTTTAGGGGTCCTAGGAAATCTTTCCAAGTCCAGCCCCACCTCCACAAAACCTTTGACACTATCTCATTCCTACTTCTTAAAATTTTGCTTAGGAAAATAATTTCTTCAGCTTAGCAGAAGTGAGGAGCCTGCAGCCTCAAGGCCACATGAGGCCCTCTAGGTCCTCAAGTATGGCCCTTTGACTGAATCCAAACTTCACAGAACTTTGTCCCCTGTTAAAATGTGAATTCGGGGTGGGGAAGGGATCACATAAACAAGAAGAAGACTAGACATCTTTCCAGTTCTCCAGGACCTTCAAAACCCTTGAAAATAAGAATTACACTGAAGAAGTAAAGCCATTAAAGCTATCTCCACAAGCCAAGATATCAAGAACCCTAACAAAGTAACAAATTGAAATATTATCAACAGAGAAAGCTAATCTGCAGTGGTTCACTAAGCACCCTCTCCCCCATAAGCTCCTTGACACACTTTCACACAACCTGTGGATTTACACTCTAGGATTCATTCAGCAAGTTCTTTGTTGCTGTTATAGTCTCAGCCAACATACCCCACTCTTACTCTCCTATCATCATTCTGTGTCAACAAGCATCAGAACATAACTACCTACCCTACTGGAGAGGAGTGGAGGGCACATACAGGAAAATGAACTTATGCCCTGCTTGGGGACCGAGAGGCAGGAGAGAGGAAAGCAGCATGCTGAAAGAGCCACTCAGGCAAGAACTAACCAAAGGAGAGAACTGGAGCAGGATACCAGCATGTGGAGGGCTGTACCAGGCCTGAAGAAAAGGAGACTGTGACTAACCTAGAGTTATTTCTGTTCCTGTGTCCTCCACCACCACCCCCAGAAATTAGTACGGAAAGGGACTGAGACCTATAAAAAGTTAATTCCCTAACACAGGAGGAGGCTGAGAAAGCTTTGAGGTCTAGCCCTCAGGGATACACCATCAAAGAAGTCAGAAAGTGAGCAATAGAGGAATATAAGGAAAAGGGCTGGAAATTACAAAAGATCACAGAAAGAAGTTTAAAACTTTGAGCATGAGCAGACAAATCAACAGGGGTAATATTAGTAACAGAAGGGAAGATGACATCTATACAAATCCAACTATCTATAAATAAATAATGTAAAACAAAGGAAATCAAACCAAAACCTAATGAGGAAGATGACCCTGAAGATTACCAAGAGAGTAGAGAAGAACATGAATAGTTTAAAAAAGAAATAAGAATCATAAGAGCAGAATTTATTATGAACATACAGCAAAGATAGTTGGCAGAGCAGAAAATTTTGACTTGAGAGTAGCTAGGCTCTCCAAAGAAGTGAGACAACAAGTGATTGGGTATGCAAATATAAAGAAGTTAAGAAAAATATGGAAGAAAAAAAGCAATAATGTTAAAAGAAAACATGATCTCTATACCAAAAAAAATATTAATCTCAAAGACAGGATATACAGAGACAAATTAAGAATCATAGGTTTCCCAGAAGAACATGACAAATCCTAAAACTTGAACAATATAATGCAAGAAATAATACAAAAAAACTTCCCAGAACTTTTGAATACAGAAAATAAAATAAAATGCCAATTGAACCTATAGAATTCCTTCGAGGGGAAAAAATATGATGCAAACTCCAAGACACACATTAGTTAAACTTAGTAATTCTGATGACAAACAACAGATTCTGCAAATGACCAGGAGAAAAACCTTGGAATATAAGAGAAAGAAAATTTGAATAACACAAGACAATTCTATGCCACCACTAGAAACCAGAGAAAAGAGGGGAATACTGTATTCTGAAGAGCAAAGGAGCTCAAGATGCAACTCAAGTTGACATATCCTACAAATGCCAGCCTAATTATCAATAAAAAAAGATAAATGTTCAATACAAAGGGAAGCATTTGAAGCATTGAGAGAGAGAGAGAGAGAGAGAGAGAGAGAGAGAGAGAGAAACATGAGCACATTATTCACTTTACAAATACCTGAGGCAACAGAAATCCAAGAAAGGCAAATAAGTACAGCTACCAAGGAAAGTACAAATAACAAAATAAATTACCCTACCTCTGGATCTCTATTAAATAGAGAAATAAAAACAGAATGAGAAGGGACTCGATGGGATAAAAAAAAAACCACAACAACAAAATAAGGACAGAGGAAGAATTGATGATGATGATAAATAGGGCTTACTATGTGCCAGGCACTGTGCTGAGTGCTTTACAATCATTATCTCATTTGATCCTCACAACAACCCTGGGAGGTAGGTGCTATTATTATCCCAATTTTATAGATGAGGAAACTCAGGCAAACAGAGTTTAAGTGACATACCCAGGGTCATAGAGCTAGTAAGAGTTTGAGGCCAGATTTAAACTCAGGTCCTCCTGATTACAGGCCCAACAGTCTATTTGCTGCACCACCTAGCTGCCCCATTAAAAGATTCCAGTAAAAAAAAATATATATATATATATATATATATATATATATATATATATATATATATGGATAAAGATGAAAACAAAACTGAAATAGAAATGATGGGGTAAAACAGACCTGAAATACCATCGACTAAACCCCACCACACACACGCATACACACACACATACCCTTGTACTGGTGAATCAATTATTGTATTGTGAATAAAACTGAAGAATGGAAGTATAAAAGTGCAGAAGAAGAGGTAGAAGACAATTTACATTGTTACCTAATACCCTTATCAACTTAAGGATATGAGAAAAGGAAAAATTACCTCTGCAGGAAAAAGAGAGGTACCTCAGAAGAATTGGTGAGGTGGTAAAAAGAGAGGGATTGAAATAGGGAAAAAAACTGGAGAAAACTTGATTCAGTACTGGGAGGGAATCCCACTGAAAAGCACTTCTAATGTAGGAAGAAATAGTCTGTAATGAAAGACAGGATGTTAAAATAGGTATAATCTTCAGGGATTTGGTGCTCAGAGTGACCCCCAATCCAGAGAGTATTGTGCCTCTATGCCTCAGAAGGGGAATCAGAGCTCCTGAGGGCAATCAGCATCCAGAAGGGTAAGAGGGCATCTATGCAGAAAGGAAAATTCATGGCAAATAGAAAAGAAAATGGTCATGGGGATGGTAGGGGGTGGAAATGGAGGAAATATTACAGACATGGAAAATTTTCTATGACAGGACAATACTTCTTTTTGTCTCCTGCAAGAATTGATACTTCTAAGAGTGAGACACAACAGGGGAAAAGGGTGAAAGTAGAAAGACCTATAAGGCAATAACATAAAAATTGTTTAAAAGAAGGAACCCAAAATATGTACCTTGGCAGCTTTAATTCCATGAAGAACATGGAGACTAAAGAAGACACATAGAAACTTAATAAGGACCATGAATCAAAGAATGAAAGCTTAGAATAGACAGAAAGGGAAAAGAACTAATGAAGAGAACAAGATAGAATCATTTTCAGAAAAAGGTGCAGAAAATTTAAAAAAGGAAAAACGAAGTTGAAGGGAAAGAGAAAAGGCAGGATTGAGAAGAAGAAAAAGAGGGGACAAATTATTTAACTAGATAAAATGGAAAAAAGGAAAAAAACAGTTAATGTTAATAAAATTCCAGAAGTAGGGAAAGGGGTGACAAATGGAGGAGATTGGGGGTTGGGGTAGAGAGGCCTTGAGATTGAGGGAGAAAGAGCTGGAAAAAAAATAGGCTTGGCTTCAAGTTGAGTAAGCAAAAATCACTGAAGAAACAACGTGCTGTCTTTAAAGGGGAAGAGGAATGAAAACAAATCCCAAATCAAGGGGGGAAATAGCAATATTACAGTCAAATGAAGAAAAACTTAAATCTGACTCATAAATTAAAAGGTAAATGGATTAAATAATCAAATAAG